GCCACTAAAGTAGCTGCACTAAAGTAGCCTGCCTTGTAGTCCTCCCTTGTGAGTACTCCAACTCCTCATGCAGCCTTGTGTAGTCTGCCTTGCATTCCTGTGTTGTGAGTACTCCAACTCCTCATGCAGCCTTATGTAGCTTGTCTTGTAGTCCTGTGTTCTTCGTGTTTGTGGGATTAAGGGATATTTAAGAGATTAAGGGAAATTAAGGCGCTCCTCTGGACAAGAATGTGTTTGGATAGTTTGAGCATATTCTAGAGATCTTTTTATATCTTTGTGTGTGAACAATAATGTTGTTTTCTTTGTTTATAATTCAAACGTTTCTGTGACTAAGTATAAAGGCTAAATAAATAAAGTAATTTGGGAAAAAAACTTTAGAGGCTCCAGTTAAAACAGCACGGCGGCTTTTTATTTGCCTAGGAGGTAGAAACGTTCTGCAAACGAAGCCCTTATGCTGCCTTCAGCTTCTCTAACTCCATGCCCCCAGTTACCTCAGAGCTGATGGACCTACCAGTCACGTCACGGAGAGCCGGAGTTCCCCCTCAGCCACGGCACTCGCAGGAGCGCTGACAGCTCACACCTGTGCACAGATCCAAACGGGACACAGCTGCAGCCGCAGGGAGGCTCACCGGGACCTACCTGCGCATTGAGGGGCTGCAGAGACGCTCAGCTGCTTTACATTGCCGGAATTAATTAACGAGCTTGTGCTTTTAGTAGCTCAGCACAGAGAAGGGTTGCAGCCAGCCAGACTGATGAAGCTCCACATGCAGAGGAAATGCGTTTTATTTTGATTTGGGAATGTAGCGCATTTTGGTTCTTTGGAGCTACTTTCATTCTTAAAAGGCCAGATGTCCTGTTGTATGTGAGCCCGGCCCATGACACAGCAGTGGCCTGTGCGAGATGCGTCTCTGTCACACCCTGTGAGGTACGCAGCCAACTGGAGCGTAATTTAAAATAAACTGCGTTTGAGCGAGTGCCGGCACACACCCTCTGCCCTGCTGTGAGCGCGGCCAGCCCTTTCAGGATCATTTAACTTCACAGTCAAATCCAGCACCGCCAGAATCTCTGTGTCAGATGTTTGCTCAAATCGCATGTCTGCTTGGGTTTCCCCACAGTTGGCTCAGGAAATCTGATTGTTTATTATCCGTAAGTTATTTTATCAGGCATGTATGGGGAGGGCTCCCAGTCACAGCGGACGTGAAAGTGAACCAAAAGTTCTCAGCACCAGCAAACATCCTTGCTGCTTTTTCCAGCTTTTACTTTATTTGTAAGATAAGATAAGATAAGATAAGATAAGATAATCTTTTATTAGTCCCACGAGTGGGAAATTTGCATCGTCACGGCAGAAAGTGGACAGTACAAGAATAGAACAGCAAAAATTAAAAACAATAGGATAAAAACTATATATGTACAGAGTGGAAATATATAAATATATGTACAACACTGTGGAATATACGTCACATGGCTGAGGACCATGAGGAAGCAATGCATAGATGCCTGTTTCACACTAGGAAGCAATGCGCAGATGCCTGTCTCACACTAGGAAGCAATGCGCAGATGCCTGTCTCACAGTGGAAAGTAATGCGCAGATGCCTGTCTCACAGTGGGAAGCAATGCGCAGATGCCTGTGTCACACTGGGAAGCAACACGCAGATGCCTGTTACACTGGGAAGCAATGCGCAGATGCCTGTCTCACACTAGGAAGCAATGCACAGATGCCTGTCTCACAGTGGGAAGCAATGCGCAGATGCCTGTCTCACACTGGGAAGCAATGCGCAGATGCCTATCTCACACTGGGAAGCAATGCGCAGATGCCTGTCTCACACTGGGAAGCAATGCACAGTTGCCTGTCTCACACTGGGGGCTTTACAGAACATTTACAGAACATTTACTGAGACAGGCATTTACACACATCCCTGAATATGTGTGTGTGTGTGTGAGAGAGCCAGTGTGCAGCACCACTGGGCCACTGACCCTCTACTGGGCCAGCCATTAGCGGTGACTGCTCACACAAGGTGGAAATTGATTTGACTTGCGTTTTCAAAGAACAAACTAAACGAACGTATCGACAGTGCATCTTCTTGCTGTAATGCATGCGCTTGCAACGCCGCGCGGCAGCGGTGACCGGGAGCTCTATGCCAGTGCACAGCGAACGCGCGCTTAGAATGAGCAGCGCGCCGCGCGGCTCCCTGCTTTCTCGCGCTGTTTCAGTAGTCTACTTTTGCCAGTGATATACTATATAGCAGCTGTAATATAACTGCTGTCCTATTGTAATTACACTGGCTGTCAGTCTGAGTTCGAGCATAGTGTAAAAGACAAAACAATAATAAAAGACAATAGCTTTTATAAGGGCTTTCCCGCATCCCATCATATCCAAAGCGTATTATTTAAGTGGTTGTTATGTATACAGTGTATAGCTTCATAGGGTGTTTTTTTCCCCGGAGGGTCTCGGATGTCGCTGTCTGTATGAATCGGACTGCGGGATCGGTTTCACTCTTTGTCGGCTCTGAATGGGGCGGAGGAAGCGGACCCATTAGGGGACTATAAAAGAGCCGCTTTGAGCTGTTTATACACCGGTCGCATGCACAGGACCGCATTTTCAGTCCCAATTTCTGATTCAATTAATAAGATATAAATCAGACAGTCGCTCAGATCCTCCACGGTGCGAAGACGCCTGCCATGCCCATCACGGCGTGGGCTCACTGTTCCTGGCTTGTCCCGCTTCTTCTTGCCCTTGTGTGGATGGTGGAGGTGGGAGCCAAAGCCAACGCCATCCGGCCAGCCAGACCGGGGGAGTCTGCAGCCGTGCCGATGGAGCGCACAGCCGGACCCACGGCCACCGGCTTCAGGAAGGGGAACAGCCCTGTCCAGGTAAAAGGGGTCCGGGTTGATGAACGTGTCCGCAATTAATCACGGGAAGAGGAACAGCCCTGTCCAGGTAAAGGAGGTCCGGGGTTATGAATCTGTCCGCAATTAATCACGGGAAGGAGAACAGCTCTGTCCAGGTAAACGGGGTCCGGGGTTATGAATGTGTACGTCCGCAATTAATCATGGGAAGGGGAACAGCCCTGTCCAGCTAAAGGGGGTCCGGGGTTATGAATGTGTCCGCAATTAATCACGGGAAGGGGAACAGCCCTGTCTAGGTAAAGGTGGTCGGGGGTCTCACATACACGTCAGTTTTATGAATGTGTCCGCAATTAATTACTTGAACTGATTTTTATTCCAGAAAGGGAATAAACACAGCATCCCGATGAACACAGCATTTCGTTATTTTAATGTACGCTTTTGATGGACACAGCATTTCGTGTTATATAATACACACTTTTGATTAACACAGCATTTCGTGTTATATTAATGCACGCTTTTCATGAACACAGCATTTCCTGTTATATTAATGCATGGTTTTGATACATGTGACTTTTGTGCGCATTTGGTGTTTGTCAGTAATTACATGCAATCGGACCCCTAATGGTCTACATCAAGGTATTTTCTCGTTATATGCTTTCGTTAATTACCTGTTAATTATTGGTATCTCCCAGGCTAATCAAAGCCTCACATGGAGGGCTTGTTTGGTCACGTTTGAACTTCCCTTTAATTAGTGGCGCTGCAAGGAGTTCGCGCCTGTTTGTCTATCTGGCGTATATATAAATAAATGTAATAATTTATCCTAAAATGTTTTAAATACACGTGGTCACTATTTATCAAACAAAAAAAATCGAATCAACTAGAACTATTATAATGTAAGACGCTCCCTGTAGGTAAGACCAGGTTGGCAACTGCATACTGTAAAACGTAAGCACTTATAATTGATATGCTACATAACTTTAGTGCTGTGGTCTTGGCTTGAAAACTGGCACATTTCCACGCTCACTTCATAAGATAGGGTATGAAATAGAAAATGTATAAATGATACTTTTCCCCTGCCTGCACAGGATAAGGGTTATGAAGTTACATGGATGGATGGACTGTCTTATGCCGGACTCTATACTACTTTTATAGTGAACAACCCTTCTAGGCTTTCTGATATTTTGTTGTTGTAGCAGTTCAGTGCAATATAAAGGCAGTGTGTTTAACAGACAGAAATTTGGACTCTGGTGATCACCAAACTGGATCCCTGATAAAGGATCCCATTTTAACTGCAAGGAGACGGTCTGTTTGCCCTTAAGTAACATAACATAAACACACTGATATCCAAGCTCATAAATCACTGTGGATCGGGGGTCTCCGGCCCTGCTTGCAGTGTGAGTTATGCTTTACCAAGAGAACATTCAGAATGAATTCTCCTTTCATATCCTCTCTGCAGTGCACTGTCAGCATATATATGCAAAATACAGAAAATAAATGAAAAAGCATTCTGCCAGCGTTTCATTGGCTCCCTGCAAGCTTCCAGTGGTGACCACTGATATAAAGTTACCTGTAGCCTGTTAGTGTTATAAGCTGCTGCTGGAAGAAATGGTCTCACCTGTTATATTAATGATGGTGATGGACAGAGACCATTAAAGGAGAAAATAGTGCTGACCTGTTGTTAAATATCACAGGATCGACGTGTAGATGGTTCCTGAATGGAACACAAATCAATAATGGGGCTGGACAGACACATAAGTGAATAAAAACAGGTGGAAAAACTACACAGCAAATGAATATGTGGCATCGCACAATCGGCACATTATCAGGGGACTGTTAGCGGTGCCTTTCTGTGCTTGCATGGGTGGTTAATCAGCACCTCTTCATCCAATGGGGGGTTTAGCTGAGGACGAGATCCTCATACACCGGCACACCTGTCACACTCAATCACATCACACAGCAGCCTGTCACACTCAAGCACGTCACACACTGGCCTGTCACACTCAAGCACGTCACATACCGGCCTGTCACACTCAGGCCTGTCACACTCAAGCACATCACACACAAGCACGTCACACACCGGCCTGTCACACACAAGCACGTCACACACCGGCCTGTCACACACCGGCCTGTCACACTCAAGCACATCATACACAATCACGTCACACACCGGCCTGTCACACACAAGCACGTCACACACTGACCTGTCACACACCGGCCTGTCACACTCAAGCACGTCATGCACCGAGCCGTCACACATCGGCCCTTGAATCTTGATTTTTGCATTTTATTTTATCATTTTATTTAAATGAGCAGAGGCCCAACAGTGACATCACTCTGCAGACCCCCGGGATTTGAACCTTTGACCCTGAACACAAGCACAGTTAGAGTCCTAACCCTAACCCTAACCCTAACCCATTGGCCATTCTGCTTATGAAAATCTCAGCTGTTTTTCGTTGGTGAATATTTTTCAGTCTTGGGTCTTTGTTCTGGGTTCCTCTTGTTGTACCGGTGACCTTTGGGTTCCGTGCCCTGTAACCTTGGGGCTACAGGCTGTCCCTCAGCACTCACTGGTGCAGCTGTAATAATGCTAACAGTAAGTGTGCAGATTATCCAGGTGTCACCGGTCACATGGTCACATGGTATCACGGCAATGCCAGGCTGAATGAATCTTAAGCAAGGAGCAAGGAAATGGGGAGTGGAAGATAAAACCCACACATTAGTTTCTGATTAACTCTTTAAATGTGTCCAAATGGAAAAGGAAACAGGAGACAACCAAGAAAATAAATAAAGAGAGAGATGATAATAATAAAAAAAACACTGGCTGCAGTGTCCTCAATTAGCACTGGTCTGACTTAACAAGTCACTGGCACAAGCCAATAATTCATCTGCAAATCATTGCTGAGGTAGAAAATCTGGGCACATGGGACTTTTAATGTGTCACGATGTTACAAAAGTCCATAATTGCTCAAAATACCCCCTAACTACCAGAAACATTTGCCAGAGCAAGAAGTAGAAACAGCAGTGATCTTGCGAGTGCCAGGACAGACAGCGTCAGGAGAGGGAACAGCCCGGGGACAGCCTGCAAACAGCCTGAGGGCGCCCCCTAGAGGAGAGGCATATATCAGTCGGCCTCCCTGTCCCTGCCTTTGCTAGAGGGGAGAAGTTATAGTGCCCCCTGAATGAGATGCTCAGATGGGTCAGCCGTCCTGTCCCTGCCTCCATTAGGGGGAGCAGTTACGGCGCCCCCCCCCCCCCCTGAGATGCTGACAGTGGGTCTGTCTCTACAGGTGCAGCCCTGCGGTAGTGATAAGGAGTGTGGCGTGGGAAGTTACTGCCATGCCCCCCCGCAGGGCCCCGCCCGCTGTGCTGCCTGCCGCAGGAGGAGGAAACGCTGCTACAGCGATGGCATGTGCTGCCCCGGAAGCCACTGCAGCCACAGTACGTTGGGATCTGCGGGGATGGGATCGATCCATCAGGAAGTGTGGGACCACAGCGGGTCCTTGTGGATCAACATCTGTGCATTTAGCTGCCCATTGACACAAGAGGACACATCTGCACGTAGAATAAATCTTTTGAATTGTGGTGATTTTGGTGGGGAAGCCCCAGCCACATCCCTGGAAGGGAGGGGTTCGGCCCCCATGTGGCCAGACTCATAGCTGCCTCTACCTTATAGAGGAGATGTATGATGGCATGAATCCACAATCAGCATCTGTATCACTGCCTTGTCTTAATTCTCGTATTATTGTATTTTTTTCAATTTTTGTTCAGTTCAGTTTCTTTCCCAGTCTAAGAGTTCCAGTCAATGGCCTGAGACATGGTCTTTATCCTGAAAGACAGGAGATGCAAAGAGTCCGGCCACCTGAGCTGCTGCAGGTCCCGGCAGATAGATTGTTGCTGGATCGCGGTTTCAGTGCAGGGCTCTCAGCTCTATTGTGAAGGGTTACATGCTCTTCCTTGATTTATATTCACGTGTCTCATGTTTGAATTGCATGTAGTAACATTATCTGTGGTTGGATCTGCAGATATCTGCATTGCCATCTCGGAGAGCACCCTGTCTTCCCAAATCACAGCACCGGAAGATCATAACAAGTATTCAACTAAAGGGAGCATCTGGAAAAAGACCAGAAGAGTGAAGATTTCCTTTGCCAAAGGTGAGCTGTGCAGATTTTCTTTAAGTGACTGGCATGACCACAAGAATGCCTCAGTTTTTGAGAGAAAATTCTTGGAATCCAATGCAGACTTCCAGTCACAAACTCAAATTAAAATGTTTAAAAGAATCCCCCTGATTTATGAATGTGTGTGAGCATTGTGGTTTCAGGATGTCTAAGGGATGATGAATTTAATGAAGTGCAATTTAAAACCGTGAAGCAGAGATTGGTTTTCAGACGCTGGCAAGCTTACAACAAATAACCGGGAGTGAATCAGCAGCCGGAAACGCTGCCGATAGCATTGTGCAGTGAACCTGTCGCTTAATGACTCGTGCTGTTGGACCTCGAACTGTGATGCCATTTACCTCAAATTTCAAAATTAAAGTCACATTTAACATTTCACTATGATTAAAAGGTGAATCACTACATGCAATTGTTCTGTGCATAAAGAAAGATATAAGTCATTTGGGGAATACTTCACAATTGTCTTCTGAAGGAGATGTGATGTAGGCACTGTTCATAGTTTTCTTCTGGTGTCTAATCCCTGTTCACTATTGTCCCCGGAAAGAGATGTTGTATAATCACTGTTAACTATTTTCTTCAGTAGAAATGTGGTGTATACACTTTTCACGATTGTCTTCTAAAGGAGATGTGGTGAAGACACTTCATTATTGTCTTCTGGTATAGGTGCTGGTCATGATTGTCTTCTGGTGTTGGTGCTGCTCACGATTGTCTTCTGTTGGAGACGTGGAATAGATGCTGTTCATGATTGTCTTCTGAAGGGGGTGTGATGTAGATATTGTTCAGAATTTCCTTCTGGTGTCTAGTCCCTGTTCACTATTGGCCTCTGAAACAGACATAGTATAGATGCTGTTCATAATTGTCCTCTGAAAGAAGTGTGATGTAAATTCTGTTCACTGTTGTCTTCTGAAGGAGACTTGGTGTAGACACCGTGCACGATTCTCTTTTGAAGGAGATATGAAGACACTGCTTTCTGGTGTTGATGCTGTTCATGATTGTCCTCTGATGGAGACGTGATATAGATGCTGTTCATGATTGTCTTCTAGTGTAGATGCTGTTCACGATTGTCTTCTGAAGGGGATGTGGTATAGGTGCTGTTCATTATTGTCTTCTGGGATAGATGTGGTTCACGATTATGCTCACATTCACATTAACAGCACACTAGCCAATGAGTATCAAGGATTCACCTTGTTACCTTGGGATTTTAAATTCCCAGGCCAGCAAAGATGTGCATTAGAGAGGTGAAGCTGTATTAGATTATTTGTGTTTGAACGTGATTGAAGGTAAGTGGACTGAAACACTGGATTCTAAGCATTAAGTCAGATGGGGAAACTCTGGCAGGGAAAGATAGAATAGCATTAAACAGAATGGAAACTTCTTTTGCTGATTAACATCTATGCTAAATGTTTTCTTTGCTAATTACTACTTTCATGTAATGTGAAGCACATGAGGGGAATATCTCATAGCTGGAGAGCAGAGAGCCCCCCCTCAGCTGCTAGCGGCCTGCTTCCCCCCCCAGCCATGTTACTCCTGGCTGCCCGACTCCCTGACCGGCTGCCGTCTCCACATTTCTACGGCCCTCGTGTTAAGCGCCCTCCCCCCTGTCGCCCCACAGGCCACGAGGGCGACCCCTGCCTGCGCTCCTCGGACTGCGCAGACGGGTACTGCTGCGCCCGCCACTTCTGGAGCAAGATGTGCAAGCCGGTGCTGCGGCAGGGTGAGGTTTGCACACGCCAGCGCAGGAAGGGCTCCCACGGCCTTGAGCTCTTCCAGCGCTGCGACTGCGCCAGGAACCTCACCTGCGCGCCCTGGAATGACGTCGCCGCCGACTCCCGCTCACGGCTGCATGTTTGCCAGCGGCCATGACGGCCAAGAGGGGGCGACGGGGAGCTCCGGGGTCTGGACGTGCCACCAGGTTGGAGCCAGGGGTGAGGTGAGGAGGTGGGGGAGGTGGAGAGCCTGACTGAGGAGCGGTGAAGCCCAGCTGAGCTGGCCAACGGCCTCCGTGCCTCAAGGAGAACAGACACGTTATGCAGTGTGTGTGCCGAGCAGTCATGGGAACAGGCTTGCGTGAAAACTGTCGCATTCACATGTTCACACGCTAAGTCTCACATGTTGAGCTGCATGCCAGGACACTGCGTGTGGTGCTGAGGGACTGGCAGCGGCTAGGATTTCCAGAAACCCCACGCAAGGACAGCCACCGTATGGCCATGGGGAGGCGCCACACGGCACCACGCTACATGTTCCAGCAGATGCCCGCAGCGGACAACTCCAGCTTTCACAGACAACACGCCGTATCGATATCGGTCAGACAGTGAATCACAGAATGGGAGGATCTGTTTAGAATGATTTAATGTCCTACTGGGGACCTTTATCTGGCCAAGCTGGGGGCACCATGTGCGGTTGTTCTGGTACATTCTATAGCCGTGTTACTTCTCATCATTGGAGTATAACAGAGATGAATCTCAGAAGAGCCAGCGTCAGCAGCATCTGTGCATGATTGGGGGGCCGGGGGGAGTGTTGGGGAACTGTGAAACAAATGTAATTAAAAATTATTTATAAAAACAGTCATATTGCTTTTGTTACTAAGTATTTCATTGATACATGAAGGACCAGGACCTTTTCATTTTACATAATGTGGCAAATGTATGGTTTGAGTCATTAAAATGTCGTCTATTGCAGGTACAGGAACCGATATCAGAGAAACATTCTTTTAACTATTTTAACCATTCAACAGATATTTTAGTGACTTCAGTTATGGTTGTTACCTATTCTTAAAATAAAATTGCCCAGATTCCCTTGTTAAACATTATTATTGAATATGAGGGCATTTGCATATAATTGCTTAAATATGAGCTGACAATTGTTTGAAATTATACTGAGCTTTAATTTTCCCGTTAATGAGACATTGGAAATGATTATTTAGGTCTTAAAGTGATCAAATATGCTTTAATATTTAACAATTACTTTTTTCCAAACAGTACAAACATTTTATATAGTTATATTCAGTTTTCTGTTACTTTAAAAGTATTTAAAAAATGTATTAAACATTTCATCTCATATGACTTGATTTATTATTATTACTATTATTATTATCACAGTAGAGAGCTTCTTTACTATAAATGTTCTGTGATTTCAGTGATTCTCACAGAACAAGAATGTTAATTTTGCATTTCTGCATATAAGAGGTTTGCTTAAAAATGTGGCACAAAAAGATTTTTTTATTTGAACAGAACAACAATTATTCAAGAGGAAATTATTTGTAGACCTAACAATAGATTATAATTTGAAAGAAATGTGTATTTCTATTAATAAATGCATAAAATGAACTTGAGTACATTGATTGCAGTTTGTGTTATTGCTGTTGTTACCTCTGATTATTGTTGAGCTGTAACTGAGCAGCGTCGCATAGGACCTGGAAGCAGCATGTGGACGTGACCAGAGCCTCTAGACCTCGGCTCTCGCTGCCATCGCTGCTCAGGGAGACATGAAGGGCTCTGGGGTCTGGGGTCTTAACAAATGAGGGAGGAGGTTGAAGGTGAACCATGATGAAACCAAAGAAGATCGCAAAGTCACTCCGGGTGAAGGACTTTATCAGCTGCAGCTGAGCGATGGGGGGAGTCACCTTTATATGTGATGCTGGGCGGCTCGATGGTCGGGCACCAGTGCATTCCAGCAAAGACACGTTTCCGGCACGGTGAGTAGTAGGAAATGCACATGAGGCAGTCCGCAGGGTCTGACTGACCAATCCAGACATACGTCAACTCCCTCTGTCCTCTGCAGAAAAGCAGAAATGCAGTTTGCACGTGGCACTTTGTACACGGGCCACAGAGTCTGGTTGCATGAAGCCAGAACGGAACATGCAGCATCTCAGCCGAATGGTGAGGCTCCCGCTTTACGGTAAATCATATCGGCCCGATCAGCCTCGGTGCCTCTTCAGCATTGTGACACATATGCAGTTACCATGAACGTGAACATCACGCCAGGTCCCACTCTCTTGGCTTGGTACCAGTAAGGTCCAGCTGGGGCTTTCTTTCCAGTGCAGCCGTCCACGGCCAGTCAGGCTGACATCTGAGAGCGTGGATGATAATAAAAAATCCAGCACACAGGAAGAGGACAAACTAACTCAAGGGGGGAAAAAATCACACTGGATGTTGAGCAGGATTTTGTCATGTGGTTTGATTCATAGACTCTGGCCTCTTGTAGCTGTGGGCCAGATGAATGGTGAAATGTGGAAATTGAGAGATTGCAGCTTAATTGCAACAATGAGATGTTGGAACGTTAATAGAAAACCATGTGCAGAGTTTCTGTTCTAGGAAAATTAAATCACAATCATGTGATGAGATGCAGAGGGTACTGGACACAGTGATCAAAGGTCATGCATGAGAGGAACGCCGTGACTGATGCTGTGTGGTGAAAATGAGCATATCTGTGTAGGGAATCTAACACCAGGCAGTCCGCCACTGCTTAATCAGACACTGCGCAGACGTCCCTGCAGACACTGCGCAGCTCTGAGGTTAAGTAGTGACAGGCAGCACCTGTGTAGAAATCCTTACAGACTTGATATTGTGCAGCTCTGAGGCTAAGATGAAACCTGAAGCATCTGCGCAGAAATCCCTGCAGACACTGCATATTTCTGGGGCTAAGCTTAAACCTGAAGCATTTGCGCAGAAAGACCTGCAGACACTGCGTATTTCTGGGGCTAAGCTTAAACCTGAAGCATTTGCGCAGACATCCCTTATTCCCAATTAATCTACCACCAAATTTACTGACAGGACAGTTTGGCCCGTTCGTATTTAATCTTCTGTCTAGCTAACTGACTTCAATCTTTCAAAATTAAAGAATATAGAAAGGAAGTTAACACCTTAATTTAGAGCACAGACATGCCGGGATCATGGAGCAGAGCTGTATGCACACTGCAGCCTGTGACCAGCACCTTTCCTCAGACAGATGCACCCTATTCCTGCCATGTGTCACTCAGGGCTGAAACTGGTACCGCCTCACTGACGATGGACCCAGAATGTCCCTGACCTGCAGCACCTTGTATCTGAGAGCTCTGGAGGACACTAGTCCAGGGCTGCTTGGTGTCTCCTCCCTGACTGTGAATGCCAACCTCTTAAAACCCCAGATTAGAGGCTCCCTCAGCATTAATCCTTCGCCGGAGCAGAGCAGGCCTGGGTTTTAATCGGACCCTCATGTTCCGCCCACGGGACGCCCTTGTAACCCTTCCCGTCTAGTCACCTTCATCTTCACTGCTCCAATTATGTTGCTTTCCAAATTTTGAGGAACATAACCCTGTGCTGTCCAGCTTGTCAGGTTTTCGGATGTCAGTGCCGTGAAGGTCTTTGGTCTATGACTTTCGAACACATCTGAACAGGAGTGCCCTGGGTCACTGGTGTTGATCAAACTGATATAAACGAATTGCTTCCTTTGGGCCTTGGAAAATCACTGCAGATAAATCTGTGTTTCCAGATGGAGGCCAGAGATGATGACACTGCATTTCTGTACCCTAGAAAAAGTACTATAGTATTATCATCAAAGTAACAGCATAGTAGTACCACTATGGTAAGACCATTGTAATTTGGCCATCTATATACCAAGGTATACTATACATTATTACAATGTATCTTCAATTAAAATACAGTGGTCATCTGATAAGCTTTATTTTATTTTTCCTTTATTATTTTATTATTATTCAGTTATTTGTTTTTCTGTTATTTATTTTTCCGTATTGTACCATAGAAATACCATCTTTTTAAATATGCTATACTATGGTAATATAAGCTTATTCTCAATAGTATCTTACCATAGTTTACCATAGTATTGTAATGATACAGCACCGAAACTAGACACCATAATTACATTAAATGTACCATGCATGAAATGTATTTGTTTTGGCTTAGTGAAGAAAACAATTTAACAGTTTAATAGCCGCATCAATCAAACCTAAACTGAAGGAAATATTTTTACCAAAAAATGACCACATTTTAAATTGTGTCATTTGAAATGACAAAAACAAAATGCAATGTCATAATTATTTATTTCTGCAAGCTGCTTTGGTGAAATTCTCAGATTCCATCACAAAATCCAATACAACTGAAATGATCGCAGTCCAATGTGTACAATGCAGTTACTTTTTAGTCAGGGATCTGTATCATATGTCCTTCTTGGCAATACCATGAGTACTAAATTCTATAGTACCCATACAGGCTGGATATAAGTACTATAGGATGCAACAGAATACTATGGTATCAGAGCAAAGTACCATAGTATAAAATAAAAATAGAGTTCAAATACTAGGAAAATAGGCTACATGTATATCATCATGCCATAAATGTACTATGCACAAAAGTACAATCCGGTGCAACCATGGTAACATGACAGTAACATTTGTTAAGTGTGTCCTGATCACTGACTGCTCCATCATCTGGTCTTTTTCATGAATGAACCGCTATTAAAGCCCTGTATAGCTGCTATCCATTTGAATCTATTTAAAAACAACTTGAACTGCTCTTAAACATCTATTTGAAAAATTTGAATTTATATTGATGACACATTCTAAAGAATTTGACTTTGATGTGTAAAAGTGCAGATCCTGTCAGCAAAGCCATCAACATCAACAGGGAACAAATCGGCCTCTGAATCAAAGGAACAGAATGCATTTTGGTGGAGATGTAAAGCTCTCGATTTGGCTCTTCAAGCAGAAACACAATGTGGGTGCTGTTCGCTGCGGTTTCCTGTGCTGCTCAGGTGCTCTCTGCTGCGGTCGCATTCATCATTTATCAAAATATTCATGAAGCACCTTTTGAAGGCGTCACAAAGAAAAACATATTGTGGATGCAAACAAAGCCTGTTATTCAGCCCAAAGTGTTTAATTTCAGTATGCGGGGCTTTACTCCCCATAATGCACTGGCTTGTGTGGGCACCTGCGTTCACGCACTCATTCTGAGCATTACCACCATGCATTTGCGTGGGCGCCTGCGTTCACGCACTCATCGTGAGCATTGCCACCATGCATTTGCGTGGGTGCCTGCGTTCACGCACTCATCCTGAGCATTGCCACCATGCATTTGCGTGGGCGCCTGCGTTCACGCACTCATTGTGAGCATTACCACCATGCATTTACTGCAGTGAGAGCCTTGATGGACACACTTCCCCTGGACCAAATTATCATGTGTTAAGTATCAGATTGTTTCATAAGCAGCAAACACATGACCCAGCTGTCGCTATAGAAACCACCCGGACTGCTAGGTCCAAACACATGACCCAGCTGTCACTATAGAAACCACTCGGACTACTAGGTCCTTTTAAATAATGGTCACAATGTCCCCTGTTATGACCGGCAGGATAAGGGGCAGGGATGTCCTCTGCTTCATTAAATACGAAAATAAAAATAAAAATGGTGAACTGTAATTTCAGAAGACTGCAAAGTTTTAACATGTGATTTTATTACCCTTTTACCAGAATAAACGGTGCAATTGTACGAGTCCTTTTTCTTGGTATGCATGCATCAGGGATCTCTCAGAATTAAGTTTTAATTGCAGAAACATGTCTGGGGCCTGATTCCTTACACTGACTGCAGCCAAGCCCCAGCTGTTTGCTTGTGCATCGGCTCCTTCACTGCGGATGATCAATCACAGGGATAGTTGGTCATTCACAGATGTAAATGCTGGACAGTGTGTGATCATCCACAGCCCCCAAAATGTTCAGCTGTAATGTGTGTCACTGCAGAAGCTGCAGAAACACTGTTGTGGTTTTGGTGTTTTTCCTGAGCTACATGGACCATGGATGGACAAGGAGCTCTGCATCCTGTGATCCCTAGCTAACCATAACCAGTGACAGCTTCTTTTTTGAAGGCCACCATTCATAGGTGTCATTCTTATGTCGTTTAGATGAAAATGAGAGGGTGAAAAAACAGTGTCCATAAATAACTCCTGATAATCAGATCTACGCACCCAGGAATGATCCTTTCAATGACTGCATTCTGAAACTTGTGCTGAAGATTGTAGCTTAATTTCCTTCAGTGAGGCAGGCAGTTGGTCTTTTGTTTCCACAGAGATTAATCTTTATGTGTCATTTTCTAAAAACAGATGAAAGCTGGCACCAATTACAATGCAAAATGTTTAATGCGATAAAACATTTCACATGAGGACTTGTGCTTAAATGTGTTTAGTTCCTGGAGGAATGGTAGTTTGCGATTGTCATGAACTTCTACAGAAGTTGCAAAGGATTCCATATTTGGTTATATGTCGCTCCTTTCGT